AGCAAGCCACAAACACCAAACAGCTACACGTGGTGCAAAACTGAAAAAAGGAAACAGGAAACACCTTACCGCCAGGGAGCGTCTCAGGAGCGAACAATGGACCAACCCAAAGTTCAAACAAAGCTGACCAAGTGGGGGAAACAGCACACAATCAGCTTCTCCCCACTTGGTCAGCTTTGTTTGAACTTTGTGCTGTTAGAATACCATACTCTGGTGGTTTACTAGTGTGAAATTGTTGCTTAGTAGCTTTGATAGCTTTTAGACCTATAGGTTATATAGATTGTATAGAGAGTTAACATTAGAACTCCCAGAGAGCTGCCAATTGGCACCATTGTTTTTTGACCTAGCATTCTTAAGCCCTTTTCAGATTGACATTCTGGAATATGTGTGGAGAATTCAGTCCGGGTTTTAACCAGAACTGTGTTTTCAGACACATCACTTTTGTACCTGAACTTGTCCTTTCGGTTGCCTTCCCACTGCAGGGAAATGTTCCAGATGTCTGAGGGGGAGGGGGTGGGAAGGTTTTACTCAGACATTGCGTAAACATAGTGCAGTGGGCGTACATGTGTCATTTACCCAAAACAAAGCTATTCAGTCAAACATGGCCGACGAAGAGATAGCATTCCTCTCACTGATCGGACTTATGTTAAGCATAATTCTGCGCACATGAAGACGCATAAGAGGCCTGGATGATGAAGCTCAATGGTTAATAAAGGAATCACGGAAGCGGTGTGATGCGCTCCGTCGCGTGTCTAGGAGACGGTACCATAGGAGGCGAGCTGCCGTGGTTCGCCTCATGCTACAGAAGCGAGTTATCTAGGTGCGCACAGCGTCCCCCGGTCCCCTTCTCCTCCCCCTCCTCCCTGTCCGGAACTCGACCTCACCAGTCTGAAGCAGCCACCTTGTCCGTGACAAGTCCGGTCCTGTTACTAGGGGCTTCATCTGGTTTAATTACGGAAAAGGTTATCCGGATGTTTGTATTCAGACACAAAGGTCTTAAGGACAGTGTCCTGAACATTTCCGTTTTTCATGGCCTGTCTGAAGGGGACTTCTATCACTTGTGAACGTTCGCCTTTGTTCTGTAAATCACTTCAGAAGATGCTGGTGCTCCCCTCACCTCCCCCTCTTGCCTGTTTTTTTTCTAGCAGTCAGGTAAAGAGGCAGCTAGAGGAAAACCAGAGACACAAGACTACTCAACAAGAGCGTATTCAGTCAGAGACTACATGCAGGATTTAATGACAGAGCATACAGGCATCTGTAAAATGTCATTTTTTTATTACAATGTTTGTAGCCTTTATAGCCTATGTTGCATTCACAACTTGTGTGCTTATCTGAAGTCTTCACAAAGTCAGTCATACATTATTTTGGGTGGGCAAGTTCAGTTGACCCAATTCAACAGAAGCCCTTTTTTCAAAAGGGCCACAAAATGCTCAGGCAATCCAAGAAAGAATGATGGTTTTATTAGAACAATAAACCTTCAAATGCACAAGCCTTTTGAGAATGTTTTGTGTTGCAACTCAAAACAATTTTGGGGGAATAATGCAGGTTAACTGCAATGCAAGCTTCAATTGTCCAGGTTCCAAAAGAAGGTTCATAACAGCTGTCATGAAGCTGCTTTTCAGGTGTTGAAAACAAGCCAGACTCTTGAAAAGACTTCAGGTGATCAGCTAAGTCTGAATAGAATTTATTTTTCAGATTATCTGACTGCAATTGCATGTAAAATAAACTGTGAAAAGTGAAACTTCTTCAATCCTTTGAGTTTTGACGTGATCTGTACTCTGTCTCTGCTGAAGCCACGCTCCTTGAGTTTTTTAGACAAACTCTCAAAGAGGTGGCTGTCCGTCACAGTTCCTGAGATTTGTCTGGCTACATCTACCTCTGCTCGTGGACAGAAGTTCACAGATCTCGTTGTCACTTCAATTAGCCATGTCCGCTGGTTGTTTACTAATTTTACCATGTTTATGCGGTTTATATACTCTTTCCGGTCAGGGGTCACCGCACATTTGCTACGTTATTTGACATCTTCCTCTGTTGTGCCAAGGCGCAATCGCTGTTTATAGGACAGACAATTACTGCAATATTACCACCAAGCGAGGCGCAACAAATGCAGCAAAATTCACACAACGCCATGCCAGCATGGCGTGTTTATAAAACACAATGTTGCGGTAATGTTACGCTGATTTGCCGGCACAGTGTGTCTTGTAAAAAGGGCTTGTGAGTCATTTTCTACCAGGGCTAAAAGGGTTAAAGAGGCAAACAAAATGAGGGTAACCTAAATGACTGAGAATTTTCAAGGTCCCCAATATTCCTCCACATTCCTGCACAGATAATGGCTACATTTACAAATGAAAGGCAGCTAATTGTCAGTGATTGAGTTGTGATTTTCAAACCAAGGAGCCATTTGGCTACCTCTGTGTGGCAAGGTGGAGAAACGAGGGCCCGGGCAGGATTCGATCCCCAGGCTCCCGGGTGAGAGTCACAAGCACTTACCAGTCAGCCAAAGGGACATCCACTTGGCCAAGTAGCCAGGGTGCATGATCAATCAGGACACTGTGACAGGACGCTCACACTGTCACATCTTCCCCCCTCTTTCCACAAGCACATCCTCGTGCTCCCATGCAGGGTGCCACAAACTTCACATCCATGGACCTACTTGACAGTAATACATGGATCCTGCCAACAATGCCAAATGTGGCAAGGTGGAGAAACGAGGGCCCAGGCGGGATTCGATTCCCAGACTCCCGGGTGAGAGTCATACGTACTAACCAGTCAGCCAAAGGGACATCCCCTTAGCCAAGTAGCCAGGGCGCATGATCAATCAGGACACTGTGACAGGACGCTCACACTGCCAGATCTGGTAGAGCTGAGGGGGTCGGAAAATCCTGGTAGTTCTAGTGTTAAATCTCCTCTGCCTCAAATTGGATAACAGCAATGCGACTGTACAGCTGACTCTGTTTGCTCTGCAACGTGGGTATTTTATCTCCACAAATAACACAAGTCTGAAGAAGTGCTGCTGTGTTGTTGATTTGCAAATGCTAATGGTTAGCTTCTACTAACCGAGACGTTCTCAGCTGTTTTCTAGATGCCAAACCATCAACAGCCTTGTTAATTTCATAAAGCAAGATCCGGAATTTTACCCAGATGTTTACTAGGCATGTTTAGTTGTCTGCAGAATTATGCTTTCGTGTCCTAAAGGGACCTTTTAGTTTTGTGTCTGGAAAAAAAAAGGAACTATGCTGTTAAGTTTAACCATCATGCGGATGACAGCAGACAACAATCTCAATGCATTGGTGAGATTAACACCAGCATACCCTCCCTCTTTCTCCTCTTCTCTTTTTTCTTTTTTAGATTAAGGATGGCCACTTTCTCCTTGTACTTTTTCATAATCAGAAGTAGACAGACTGACATTTTCAAAAGGACATGTAAAGGTCATATATTTTCTGTTCCTTGCTATGTGGTCTTACATTACTCAGGATGTGTTGTGTTTTTTCTGTGTGCCTCATCTCCTCTTGGAATGTCTTGAACTGTTTGCTGTGGTATCTTATCAGGTACTTAGCGGTTCTGAAGTCTATCATGGAACCCAAAACATTCTTAGGTTTGACATTTGCAGAGAGACGGACTTTGTCCTTATGAAGTTCTTGGAGTCAAGCCAGATGTCACTTTACTGACTTTTTTTGGCCATTGTGGTGCTGGCTGTCTTCATTTGAATATAATCAAATTCCAATCTCATTCTTTATGAGACGTTATTGAAGAGTCACGTATAATTAAATACTCCTAAAGTAGAATTCTCTGTACATTTTTGAAACCCTCTAAAATCTACCTTTTCTTCAACAAAGAATTCCACTGATATTGTCATTTGAATATGATAAATAATGATACATAAACAAAATAAATACAAAAATATGCACAAAAATGAAAAGTTATGCAATATTCTTGAAAATTAAGAATAGCGCTTCCAGCTTAGAATGTATAGAATTTTCTGTAGTTTCTGTACAAAAAAGAAAACCACATCATTACTATGAATTGAAAGGTGAGCACATGTGCTTTATTTCAACAGTGACATTTTTTTTTCTTTTATTACGACTAAAATGTTTACATTTATTTTGAGAATAGGGTATTTCTCCTACCATACCTTACCATACCAGTTTAGTATAGCACGTTTACACACAGCATGAGAGCTGACCAAAGTGCTTCTCCAGTAGTCAAACTAGTGTTCACTATGCTCAAAAGTACTGGGCCCAGAGTGGGTAGAAGGTCACACACCCGTTTAGGTGGGAGAGTGTCTCCAGGTGAACCAGTTGACTTTGTGGAGCTAATCAACTTCTCAAAGTCCAATAAGCACACTGGAGTGAAATCAAGGAAGCAGTGTGGATGGGGGCTTTCCACCGTAAAAGTTGATCTCAAGGGCATGAAAGCGAGCCTAATGTTTTATATCTTATTGTGAAAAAAGTTCTGGGTATCAGTGCATAACCAAACAGAGGGAGTTAGACTATTAGACTTGTTTAGTGACAATGTGGAATGTATGGTACTAAATAACTTAGCCTGGTCTCCCTTATGATGGGAAATAATATGAGAGAAATATTTTCCAATATTCCACCTACATTCAAGCACTCTACAGTGCAGCCTAAGACTGCGAGTTTCATCAGTCAACCAAGGGTCCATAACGGTCCTCGACATAACGGTAGTGTTGGATGCATGCCGTAGAGCTCCATGCTGCCCCGTTCAGTTTGAGAGAATATTGGCTCACCGCAGAGACAAGCCACATGAACCATAAATGCTGCGATTTGTGAAGCGCGTTCCAGCCGCGAGCCGCATCACCAAGCGAAAAGTGAATGCGTCAAGCGTAAACCAAGCTTAAGCCTCATTCACACGAGTGCGGCATGGATGCGGTCCGGTTTCCGTATGGCTTCCACATAATAAATCATATCAATTTAAAGCACACTTATTTCACTTTCTGTCCTGTATTTGTAATTGTAACACCATTTTTGGGTGATTTTTAGGTTTATCCTCTATGCGGTGGATAATCGAGGCAGTCACACCGATTCCAGTTTTGTTTCCGTTCGCACATCCTGTCCTGTAGTGGATGACAGCCGTGCTGAAGGTACGTTTGCCTCCAACCATTTCCGTATTCCTAATCTGAACATAGTAATTCTACGAAAATGGTCCCAAACCTTTCCAAGGAAGCTGAACTCACACTGCATCTGCCTTTTTTCTGTTTGCCTTTTTCTCACATCAGAAATAGCAGACCGAGTGTACAACTTGTACAATGGCTACACCAGTGGAAAGGAGCAGCAGATGGCCTACAATATGCTGATGGAGATCCCTCCTCCACTGCTTTATAGAGTCCAACATCACTATAACTCCCACTATGAGAAGTTTGGAGACTTTGTCTGGCGTAGTGAAGATGAGCTGGGCCCCAGGTGAGACACCAGTTTAACTCTGGTTTTTAAACGTGAAGAAAGCAGCTTCATTTTGTCCCAGTCTGCTGGGATTTAGCTAAACCTGCTTGTCATCTTAGATGAATTTGGAGTTGTTTGTGATCAATAACCCTCATCTCGAGGTTTCTTACATAAGAGTCAAAACCGGCGGAACTCACTGCCAGATTTGGATCATTCACCCATTTCTCTTGGCATCGTCCTCCACCCCACTCCTCTTGCAGTCGTGCAGGAGCGCTTATTGCACAACACTCGCACAGTCCCAGAACTGCGTCTTCTGGAAATGGGGCGGGCAAGGTCACTATTAAGACTGTGGGGTTACAGTCACTCCACACATCACCATGGCAATGCCAAAACAGGATCTGACAGCCAAGCCAAACAGTAAACGTGATACTCGGTGAACACTAACTCAACTTCCAACTCCATTTCCTTCTCCTCCTCATAAAAAAAGTCAATCTGTAACCATAATATACCACCCTGACATCCCCTCACCCCTGACCTTTCCAACAGGGACACCCTCGCTGATAGTTTGAACAGACAGCGAGACATTACAACATCACGGGAACAAAGGAAAGAAAGAGGCCGACTGGCGAACAAAAAAAAAGGAAGTGAAAACAATGATTCGAAACAAATGTTTAGAACAAAAACATCTATGCGTGTGAGTCTGTGGAGGCAGTTGCTCCAGCACTGATGATAGCAACACACAATCTTAAGTTACAGCCCAATGTTTTGGTTTGTCCACCCCCACTGCCTGGAAGCCCTCCTTTCAAGCTATAAATAATATAATAATTGAGGAATAATTTTGGTCTGTAGGAAGTTTACGCTTCCCTCTGATTGGTGAATCAGAGTGGGAGACACAAGTTGGCCATTGGGACTTACTTAGGATGTGGATTGGACGTGTTGGATGGTGTGTAGTTGTATGTGTGTGGGCAACTCCAAGAGGGTGGAATTGGAGAGGTGGGGGTGCTTTTGGATGAGCGAGTGTGGATTATTTACTGCCTGCAGTTGGCAGGGTTTAGCCTCGTTGCGGTAATTTACAAGAAGGCTCCTTTGGTGGTGCTTTTTAAAAGGTAAAAAAGAATGGCCGAGAGAAACGCAAGCACAGTCAGCACTCCTGCAGGAGCCGAGAATCCCAGCAGCCCCCCCACATGTCCACGATTGTTACAGCTGAACGCCTACGTTGTGATTTGCACATGCTGTGATCCATGGTCAGTGTTCTGTTTGTTTTATTTCTCTTTGTGGCAAGAACACCTTTCCTGTTTTCACACTTCAGCCGTTGTGCTGTAATCACCCACCGAGATCAGGAAAAAAATGTTTGCAATTTATGCTTTTGATTGAACTTAACTGTAGTTTTTGTTGACATCAGTGGATTTTAATCTACTCTTAAATTTAGTTTTGCTTCCCAAACTCTCGTTGATAATGACTTTGGTATTCTGTTGTTTCAGATGCAAGAATTAAAGGAAATGAAAAAATGCCCCCGATCCCCAATTCACCCCCCAAATAAGTGAAAAGGATGTCTGTGCTGCTTGCTTTAACTAAAGACAGATGTTGATGCTCGGCAGACACCGCTACTCAAAACAAATAGAATTTTGCCTCTCCCCCTGTGTGTTTTAGATGTTTCAAACATCCATATGGGCTTAAAATCCTAGAATAATGTTTTTTCTAGATAGGTACAGTGTGTGTTTGTGTGTGTTTCCAGATGTGTCCTCTATAAATTCTGCTGACCTGACATATGGCTTCTACATGTAGTAAAGTTCAGCTCTAGACTTCGGAGCCAGAAAGAAAAAGTCTTTGTTTCATTTACTCTAGACAGCTGCCGCTGATGTTTAGAAAGAAAGAAAGAAAGAAAGAAAGAAAGAAAGAAAGAAAGAAAGAAAGAAACCACCACCCGAATATGAGCATGTTCTGTTTTTGATCCACACTGGCAGTCCTGTCAGAATGACAAAAACATGAGGTAGGCTACTTTGAATTCTTTACCATTTGAATTCTGCAAAGAGTCATAATTTATAAAAAAAAATAATAAAATAAAATAAAAAGAATAAATTCTCTACTTAGTTTTTGGGGGGGGGTTCTTCTGCGTTATGTGAACACAACCATCCATCCATTCTCGTCTGCTTATCTGGGGTCGGGTCATGGGGGCAGCAGCCTAAGCAGGGAAGCCCAGACTTTCCTCTCCTCCGGGGGAATCCCAAGGCATTTTGATGGTAAATGATAAGTGACCTGCACTTGTTTAGTGCCACTCAGGACTCCAAAGCGCTTTACACTGCAGAGTATCATTCATCCATTCACACACACACACACACACACACACACACACACACACACACACACACACACACACACACACACACACACACACACACACACACACACACACACACACACACACACAATCACACATTGATGGTGATGAGCTACGATGTAGCCACAGTTGACCTGGGGGCGCTCAGACAGAGGCAAACTTGCCAAACTGGCACTGCCGGTCCATCCAAAGATCAGGTTTAACGACTACTTATTGTATATTGCTTTTGAAAATAAACAGTCACTCTGAGTTTAACATACAGGCTCAACATGAAAATTGTCTTCAACACCGATTTCCTTCATTTGCTTCTGATAGAACTAAAAGTGCTTGGTTCAGAAAAGTCTGACAGATCACTTAACATTCATGGAGTCACCCGTATTGACTCATTAAGGCAAATGCTGCTGTTGATTTAGCATCCAGGAATCAGGAGAGAACATCTCTGCTAATAGAAGCTAACCGTTAGCATTAGCAACTCCACCATGCAGCAGAACTCTTCCATGCTTGGCTTTTTGGTGGACAGCAAACAGTCAGTGGCAGAGTTATGTTGCTGTTAGCCAATCAGAGGCGAGATGTCTAAATATCAGGAAATAAGACACCAAATCCTGTCGTCTAAAACTACTTTCTCTGGCTGATTTCTATGTCCTCAAACAGGCGCACCAGAGCTCCCCCCCCCCCCCCCCCCCCCCCCCAGAGAATGACTTAAGTCATTTATTCCTACCAGACACCATTGCAAATGTATTAAAATATGAGTAAAGTTGATCTTTAGTCATCCTTTTATGCTGGTGAAGGTTCTCAGTCATCCAGGTCTTGGTAATCCAAAGGGTTTCGAATGAAGGCAATCGGACTTCTTTGGTTTCTTGAAGATGTTTCGCTACTCATCCGAGGAGCTTGTCAATTCTTTGCCAGTTCTTTACACTTTACTAGAAACACGTCGCAATTTCTAAATTTAACCCACAATTTTTGGGGGGACTTTATTGTGTGAAAATTTGTGTAACAAAATTGCACATTTTTATTTTTACTTATTTGCCTTCAGTTTTAAGAAAGTAGAACCACACCTTCAAATTATTAATCTTCTCAAAAGTTCAATTTGAATGATCTTTCTTTTCTCTCTTCATCAGAAAAGCCAGTCTAATACTAAGACGGGTGGAGACGATCAGCCTCTACTGCCGCTCCCTCCTGCGCAGCACCCACATCCAGAGCCGCACAGACACTATGGCGTACATCTACTGTCGGAGTGAAGAGGGCCGACCCTCCAGCAACACGTGGCATAGCTCTTTACACGACAGTCGCCCAGCATGCATGGAAAGGCTCATTTCTGTGCAGCGCAACACATACAGCAACACCAAACTCCGATGAGGAAAGAGTTCAGATTTGAGCAGCGCTTTTTTTTTCTCCTGCAAAATGACATCAATGATTGATGAACCTCTTTATCTGCAGCAAGTATCTCACGTGACTGGTGTCTTTATAAAAACCAGGAGAGGATAAAAAAAAATAAACAGCTCACTGGGCATGGTGTTGAAGCTACCAAAAACATGTTTGGTGTGTGGCCTACTTTTATTAGAAAACAAGGATTGTGGAAGAGTCTTTGGAGCAGACAGAATTCTCCATCACCAGTGATTGTGCATATCAGTGAGAAACTGCAGTGTAAACATGTACAAAAAAATGCCATTGAGTCAAAAAAATAAGGTTGGCTTAAATACATTGAATGTAAGTACATAGTTCATTTTTGGTGCTTATCTTGAAAAAAAAGGAGGAAATATTGTTACTGTAGATTATTTGCCTTTGCTACTTTTATTAGAACTGGGGAACTGAGGTCTGTGTAAGTCATTTCAAATGATCATTTCTTGTTTTTTTCAAGTTCACATTTTGCTTCAGGATTCTTAAATCTAGACATAGAAACTGTAGTTAGTTTTATTTAACACAAAGTTATTTCATGCTTCTGTATAGAAGTAGGGTTGAGAAATGTGATGGTTGGGATAATATCACAAAGCAATTTTCATAATTTATTAAAGCTTATATTTGAATTCTGAATTATAGGAATTATAGGAGGATGGGCAAAACCATGAAAAAACATAACTTTCAAAATTATTTTCTTTGAAAATAAATTGTGGTCAGAGATTGTATTTTGTCTGTGGACACGTCAGCTTGCTTAAACATTAAAGTGAAGGTTATCTATATTTTTAGATATGCATACTGAGAAGCTGTTTCTTAAAACAGATGCCTTTCAAGGCATCTTGCATTTCATTGGATGTGAGTGTTAGGGATACCTATAGAGATGATTTATGCAAAAAGTAGGAAAAATGCTAAAACAATTAAGACATGAAGTCTTCACCTAATACTGATGCTATGCTATTAAAACGATGGTTTCAAGCATTAAGTAACCTTGTAATATAATGAAAGCAGCACAAGTCACAAAAAGAGACATTAAAATGATCTGCAAACGAATGAAGAAGGGCAATGTTTTATTTGTATTAAAGATTTATTTATTGGCGCTTTAGTCACAATTTGGATCTAAATAGCTGACTATGCTGATTGGCTTTGTGATGTTTACACTTATTATCATATTTTAACGCACTAACAGCAATTTATTAAAAACTAAAGCAGCAAGTTGCCAGTGCAACCGGCTGCTAGTTAAGTCATACATTTGCCAAATCATAGTCCGCCCTTTCTATTTAGCTGTTGCCATTTGATAGTAATAAGGTGGAGAATGGTTACCATTTTGCACCTATACAGTTTCCCTGCAACCCTGCTTCAAGCTGTGCTTTGTTGCACATATCTCACTGGGCAGCGTCTGCTGGTGAAAGTTGGAGACACAAATTAGCAAAAACAAAAAGTTACAATTTTCTGTTGGAATCAAACGGAATTGGCTGCCCACAACATTTTTTGCATTTTTCAAAACAGAAAAAAAAAAGTGAAATTATTGTGTCACGTTGGAGCAGAGGTTGTTTAAATGTTCTGGATGCAATTTAGTCATTAAGTGCACTAATTCATTTGCTAATCCCAAAGTTATGTACAACTGAGTCGAGACTGGTTTCAGTAGCCCATGTGGTTTCGCTGACTCAAATTGTGTCTCAAAAATTATTTTAACTAATTAAAAAAAAATCTCAAGAGACACCATGGAAACTGAGGATCTGCACATATTATCCTAAATGAATCCTACTCACCAACTGGCACCAACATTGCCTATTGAAACACAGAATAAAGACAATTTTATTGCATTGTAGCAATACATTATTGCTTTATTAAGACTTAATGTTAGAAAAACTATTTGAATATAATTTCTTATCATAGTGATAAATCAGACGTGTGGCAGCTACAAAGATAGGGTTAAGTAGGCAAAGGTTAGTTTGAACAGACTAGAACATAAAAAAAAATATAAAAGATATTAACTGGCAGAAGTAAGAAACTACCTGGAGTTTCAACTCATGAAATAAGAATCTGTGATTGTATGGAGGGAATGGGGTCCTTTTCCTTTTTGTATGTCAGTCAGTTGACTTTCCTTCAAAGCCATTAATATTGTTATAATGTAAACAAACAATGCCTTTTTCCAATATGTTTATTTCATGTTATAACTTGTGATAATAAATTATTATAATGTAAATTATTAAATGTAAATATACCTGTGTTATTATGTGGGGTTTGTCTTTTTCTGAAGAATGTGACATATTTAAAAAAATGTATAGACAGAAAGATTGAATATTTTTGGTTTTGAAAGTTGATCTTTATTTGATTCGCTGTTGACCAAACAAACGATCACCAGAATATGTCATAGCATTTGCAAACATTTTTATTCATTTTATTTTTAATTTCACCTTTACTCTTTTCTTAATTTTTTTCATTGTCACCCATTTTTGCTTATTCTCTGTCTGATTATTTTACCAGCGTCCAATTTCACTGACTTCATTCACTAAAACACTTTCACTTGTAATTTAGACCAGTTTCAATTATTTTATGCAATACAATAGTGCTGAAAAACTGAGTCAAAACACTAAAAACCCTTGCACACATTGAATTAGATGACAAAATAATTATTATTGTGTATGAAATATTTGCCACTGTGTATGAATAAACAGAACGTTGGATACTTTGCTACTCCCAACCACCACGGTGATACCCTGACTGCTGTTTTCTTCTTGTGTTTACGTCATATCAGAAGGAACCAAGGGGGATGTTATTTCCCAAACCTTAAAGTGTTAACACATGTTGCAACAACCACATCCAAAACAGTACTATTTATGACATTTTAGTGCACATATTGTTCACTTTTCAATGAGCAAAGATTCTGTGATGAGCTTTTTAACAACTCTATAGGTAATGATGCATGTTGGGTAATGTTTCCAAAACTTTCAAGACTTTTCATGCAGCTCATGTGCAATATGTCGCCTCATAATTAAGGTTATATATTTCTATTTGGTATTCATGGAGGAAAGAGAGATATTTCATCAGCATTAAAGAGAACATTTTATGCAAAAATCACCCAGTGCATTCTTTTGTGCTGCTTTGTAGGTATTTACTGTCCCTATAAACACTCCAAAGTAAAAAAATAAAATAAAATAAAAAGCTCTGCATCCGTTTTCTGTCAGTGATTGGTTTTGGGAATTATGTCCCTAAAACAAGACCTTTTAAAAAGTCCCTGTTTGTGATGTAACACACAGGGAAAGTAGAATGAAACCACATCTCCTGTATAAAGCTGGGCGGACACTGTGCGACTTTTTCACTCGTAGCACTCAGCTTCAGCTCAAACTGTACGACTTCCTCGCAGGGCAGATCCCACGAGTCATGTGCTCACACTGTACGACCCAGTTCTCGGACGCGACCTGACTGCTCACACTGTACGTCTGGTAGCAACACATCGGACCTAAAAATATGCTAAAAATTGCAGTTTTTGCACAACACGTCAGACTTTTTTGTCTTGTTTTACCTGTTGTCCTTTGGGAGTGTTGCAGGAGGACACAGGGATTTATGGGGGTTGGATGAGGAAGACGAAATAAAGAAATTAAATCTGTGTTTTGTGATCAGTTTAATTTGACATGAACACGACAAATACGCTTTCTTGACAATCCTTGTCAATGTGTGTAAAAAAATCGTTTAGAAATAAAAACGAACAACGTGTGTTATTAGGGAAATAGCAGGTGAGCGGTGTGGATGCATGATTGCGCATGCGCCATGAGCGGTTCTGGTATTTTTTGGGTTGCAGCCGCTCGCTGCGCCGCTTCAACCCTCACAAGGAATGAGCAAAATATCAAATACTCCAGAAGTCCGTGCGAGCTCACTATTGCTGATTAGTAACTGGTCACGTGGTGTTAATGGCCTCTCGTAACCCCCTGTACACTACACGATGCTCAGCGCAAAACTCGCCCAGATCTTGTGGATTCTCGCACGAGTGGAAAATCGGCTCAAAAAGGTGAAAAAGTTGCACAGTGTATAACCGGCTTAAGAGAGAGCTGCTGCTGGAGGAGCAGTGGCTCTACCACCAGCCCCTCCCAAATATTGAAGCTTCTCAGCATAAAGCAGTCTGAGTGGAAGAGTGGTGAGTGCAGACAGCTCCAATTTGTTTTTTGTGACAGGAGGCCTAAAGCAGCTCATTCTGGAAGGTACAGAAACTTTAGTGCAAAGAACTTGTAGCCTAGAAATCTAGACATGATTTTTCTCTGCATGTCGATCTTGCCACACTCCACTGTAGCCTCAACAGGCCTGCCTTACCAATCATAGTGCTCTGTCGGAATTGTGGGCCAATCACTTTGCTCTATCTGTTTGGTGGGCAGGATGATCCGATGGAAAGTATATCACGTTCGTTGTCCAGTAGCATGCAAAGATAGTTTGAAAGACAATCATACATTTCGCCTCATGACTGAGCTTTCTCTAAGGGTCGTGGCTAGACTATATGTTCACATATAAAGGATGGTTTGCCAAGGTAAAGAACTTCAACACAGTCGTGTAGATTCTCAGCCTTCCAGGGCATGGTAATCTGGAAGGTTTAATTAGACACAACATGAATTTTCCTTTTTTCCTTGAAGATGTTTCATCTCTCCTCCAAGAAGCTTCTTCAGTTCTGAAATTTGGGTTGGGAGAAGGGAGGACTATGAGGTCTGGTCTGAATCAAATATGCTGATAAGGCAATATAAGTCACTGGTGAGACCATCGTTATTACTAATGAGGTCATCAAGGTCATACGAGTCCATGGCTCCTCCGAGTATTCAGCTCTCTCTTTGTCGTGGCTGATGTTCACAACAGGTTCTCAACGAAGCCCATTTGTGCACGATTTTGGTCATGTCTCAAGGGGTGAGTTTTGGTAACTGCCTGTGGAGACACGTCAAGGTGTCCCTGTAGGTGCTGGAAAGATGTAGTCATTAAAAAAAAACTTCAAGAACTTCATCAACATATTTGGTATTGACAATAGAACTATAATAACATCAGAAAAAATGTCATAATACTTAAAAGCTCAGGCACATCGAATGTATTGATAATGGAGGATTTTACAGGTTTGAAATCCCACTGTACTGCGTCTGTGTATCAATTATTTTCTCTGGCATTTGTCAATGCTCTGATTTGGAAAAGCTGATGCATTAAAATCAATTCACAGGTGAATGAAGTCATGTCGTAACGAGTTAAATCCCGTTTGTAGGACATTGTACGACTGTATATACTCATTTCATATGCCTGACACCAGCTTTATCTTCGAGTTTCACCTGCATATTGCTTATTGCTCTTTTTCTTATTATGACTGATGATTATTACAATATCGGCTTCTCGTGTGAAAAACATTCAAGGCAAATGGATTTTTCCTGATTTAAAAATGATTAAATTTATAAGTTGTGTTGCAACCAATGACATACAGTGGTGTGAAAAACTATTTGCCCCTTCCTGATTTCTTATTCTTTTGCATGTTTGTCACACAAAATGTTTCTGATCATCAAATACATTTAACCAGTAGTCAAAAATAACACAAGTAAACACAAAATGCAGTTTTGAAATGATGGTTTTTATTATTTAGGGTGAGAACAAAATCCAAACCTACATTGCCCTGTGTGAAAAAGTAATTGCCCCCCTTGTTAAAAAATAACCCAACTGTGGTGTTTCACACCTAGGGATGGGTACCGAATTCTGTACTTTTTAAGGTACCAACCAAATTCCTTAGTACAGACTGAGCACCGATTCACGTCATTTCAAGCGGTGCCTCGTTTCAGTACCCGTCCTTCATGACGAGAACTTGCCAAGACAGTTGCGCATGCGCAAGAGCGTTATGTCGTCGCTCGCTGGGAGCCAGTTGTAAACAGAGCAGCATGGTAGAAAGAATGCTCGCTAAAGCTTGGGTCCACTTCACTAAATGTGATAGGAAACTGGGTGATGATGAAACCAGCGACAACAATCTAAGTGAGGCATCCTCATCTTAATCTGCTCCAGTAGGTAAATAAAATGTTTAAGATAAGGTTAGCTTGATATGTTAGCTTCTGTTTTGCTAATGGTGCGTTCGCTTTCTCCTCGGAACTCCGAAATTCCAACTAGAAGAACATGAACGCGCTCTAAAGTTTGACTTCACTTTACAAAATGCGACGGGTGAAGATGAAACCAGTGACAACGATCTAAGTGTGAGGCATCATCGTTTTAATCTGCTCCAGCAGCTAAATAAACTGTTTAAGATAACGTTAGCTTGATATGTTAGCTTTGATTGCCACCATTGTTATCAGCTAATGCTGCGTTTGCTTTCTCCTCGAAAATTCTAACTTCCCAGTAGAAAAAATCAAATGAAAAAAGACTGCAAAAGGAATGAAGATACATAGTAAATTTAATTCACAGTAAAGAGGCTTGCTTCAGTTTAATTATCAGCTTATAAAACTACAAGGACAATGTTAAAATACAAACAGTTGAATGTTATTCATCGTGATGTTTATCAAATATTGTTATATATTGAGAAAAATATGTATTTAATTATAAAAGAGAATTAACATAATAAACACTCAAAAGTATCGGAAATTGGTACCGTTAAGTACCGGTATCGATTCCTAGGTACCGGGAATTGGTACCGAATCGATTCAAATGTCAAAGGTACCCATCCCTATTCACACCTGAGTTCAGTTTCTGTAGCCACCCCCAAGCCTGATTACTGCCACACCTGTTTCAATCAAGAAATCACTTAAATATGAGCTGCCTGGCACAAAGAAGTAGACCAAAAGCACCTCAAAAGCTAGACATCATGTCAAGATCCAAAGAAATTCAAGAATAAATGAGAACAAAAGTAATTGAGATCTATCAGTCTGGTAAAGGTTATAAAAGCCATTTCTAAAGCTTTGGGACTCCAGCGAACCACAGTGAGAGCCATTATCCACAATGACAACAACATGGAACAGTGGTGAACCTTCCCAGGAGTGGGCGGCCGACCAAAATTACCCCAAGAGTGCAGAGACAACTCATCCGAGAGGTCACAAAAGACCCCAGGACAACATCTAAAGAACTGCAGGCCTCACTTGCCTCAATTAAGGTCAGTGTTCACGACTCCACCATAAGAAAGAGACTGGGTAAAAATGGCCAGCATGGCAGATTTCCAAGATGCAAACCACTGTTAAGCAAAAAGAACATTAGGGCTCGTCTCAGTTTTGCTAAGAAACATCTCAATGATTGCCAAGACTTTTGGGAAAATACCTTGTGGACTGATGAGACAAAAGTTGAACTTTTTGGAAGGCAAATGTCCCGTTACATCTGGTGTAGAAGTAACACAGCATTTCAGACAAAGAACATCATACCAACAGTAAAATATGGTGGTGGTAGTGTGATGGTCTGGGGTTGTTTTGCTGCTTTAGGAACTGGAAGGTTTGCTGTGATAGATGGAACCATGAATTCTACTGTCTACCAAAACATCCTGAAGGAGAATGTCCGGCCATCTGTTCGTCAACTAAAGCTGAAGCGACCTTGGGTTCTGCAGCAGGACAATGACCCAAAACACACCAGCAAATCCACCTCTGAATGGCTGAAGAACAACAAAATGAAGACTTTGGAGTGCCCTAGTCAAAGTCCTGACCTGATTCCTATTGAGATGCTATGGCATGACCTTAAAAAGGTGGTTCATGCTAGAAAACCCTCAAATAAAGCTGAATTACAACAATTCTGCAAAGATGAGTGGGCCAAAATTCCTCCAGAGCGCTGTGAGACTCATAGCAAGTTATCGCAAACGCTTGATTGCAGTTATTGCTGCTAAGGGAGGCCCAACCAGTTATTAGGTTCAGGGGGCAATTACTTTTTCACACAGGGCAATGTACACTGACATGAACACTGACCTTACTTGAGGCAAGTGAGGCCTGCAGTTCTTTAGATGTTGTCCTGGGGTCTTTTGTGACCTCTCGGATGAGTTGTCTCTGCGCTCTTGGGGTAATTTTGGTCGGCCACCCACTCCTGGGAAGGTTCACCACTGTTCCATGTTGTTGCCATTTGTGGATAATGGCTCTCACTGTGGTTCGCTGGAGTCCCAAAGCTTTAGAAAT